AAAAAAAAATTGGGAACATAAAAGGGTTGATATGATCATCATAATTGATAAAATACGTTAGTTCCCAAAGTAGTTGTCACCAACGTGGCAATGTACTCTTAAATCGTGTCAATAGACCCATGGTTTTAGTGAAGATATTAAAAAAAAACAAACATTAACCACCATATGAGCAGGCATAACCCAGATTGATAAAAAGGATCTTCATAGTCATAATGTATAGAATAGAATTAAAAAAAGAAAAAAAAGAAACATATCCATTATTTAGAGAAGTGAAACCGAAAGGTGACTAATAAATAAATCAGCCGTTCTAATATTAGAACATCTGTGGTAGACTACAATGTTTCTTTATGTGATAATATTGATTAACACCCCCCTCCCCCAATAAATGTTTTCACTAAACAATTGACGTCTCACGAAACATCTAAACAAACGAAACATTTCCGGTGTCCAAGAACGAATTGATATTTCCAAGACTTTCTTTTCATTTGTGTGCAAATATTCCAAATTTTTCTACATGTATAAAATTTCTATATGCACTAAAAATTATTGTGCAGTTGAATAAGGTTATTAAACAGTAGATTGCTTTTTAAAAATTTTAAAAATGATTTTTGTTAAAATGATTAAAATTGAAAATTTGGAAAAAGCAATAACTGAAATCATGAAACTGACAAATACGTTGATTAATAATAATTTGAAATACCATAGAATTCAAAGGTGCTAAAAATCTGAATTCCCATATAAGAAGTAGATATTTTTAATGGAATATTATAATATACAGGTGATAAGTTCACATGCAGGTTCACTTTACCAGAAGTATAACACATCCTGATAGTCATGTGTAAAGTCTGAGTTGGTATAAGTACATTCAAGTCTATCCCCATTTAGGCAACAGAACCATATGTTCTCAGCCTACACTGAAAGCAATTTGCAAACATTTCTGAACAATGTATGTATAAATAAATGATTTATATACAGATACATAGAAGAATTAAAAAGTGAATGAAAAGCTGTTGAAAACAGACCGGGTGGTCCTTCAGAAGAAATAGAAAAAAATATATTTATTTACAAATGTTTAATTTAGTAGAGAAATAGGGGCTAATATTTAAAGTATTTAAAAAAAAAAAATTGTGAGCTATGTAAATATAAATCATTTTCAACATTCGGTACGTATGATGAAATTTTTGTTAAAATATTCTTGGCAATAAAAAAATTGAAAAGTTTTTTTCAACCAAATTGAAAGATTCTAGTCTGTTTGATCTGAGGATATCTGATAAAGAATGTCAAAAGAAATTTTCACTTGAACTTTGATGAAAAAGACTCGGGATGCTTGACGTCATGAGACTTACAATGGGAAAAGAAGCCACATGATACAAACCAACTTGCTAAATGAAAGCTAACAAATCACAAGAAATACTCCATTCACTAGTTTATCATGTGCATTAAAAACTATCATCAATGCGTCATCATCAGTGGCGCTACAGCCCATGTAGGGCCCTGGCCTATCATCAATATGACATTCTTAAAAAGAAAAAAGCAGGTGAGAACGATTTTCTCCAATGTAAACTTTTTGCGGTAATTACAGTGCAACTGTCTGCTGTCAAATCCTCAATATAATGTATAGTTAGACATAATTTATATAGGTATACTCAGAAGCTGGAATATCCAGACAAATGATGAGGGGGCCACCATGATACTAATTTTTGGCCTCTGCACTACATTACATATTTGACAATTCTTTTTCTTCTTCACATTTGATGTGTAACATTTACTCGTTGAATTATTCTGCTCCACCCATACTTGTGCAAGGTCAATAAAAAGTTATAAAAAATATCCAGTGGATGCCCAAATAACCGACGATAAGAAACTCCCTAGGTCACACCTTTAGAAAACCCAAATGTACACACAAATGAGAACCTTAACACGGGATTGGGATTTGTTTCATTAGAGTTGTGCTAATGACTTGGTCGATGTCAGTAAGTGCTTATGACTTGGTAAACGTCAGTAAGTGCTTATGACTTGATGGAGGTCAGTAAGTGCTAATGACCAGTTTCTTTTCAAATTATCCTCTAGGGTTGAAAATGTTTCTGTGCCATCAGCAATGAAAGACTTACTTTTGGAATAACTTCTTACTTTTGCACTTTAAAACTGTCCATTTGGATTATCAATTCTTTTTGAGGGTGCATAAAAAATAACATTTTGAAGCACATTTCATTGTCATTCCAAAATATCTTTGAGCTCTTCACTTCCTACAATGTTTCTCAATCTGAAAGATGAGACAAGCTAATTTTCAGTTACCTTTAAGTCAGTACTAATGAGGCGGACCAGAAGACCTCCTTGGTGAGTACCGCGGACCAGAAGACCTCCTTGGTGAGTACCGCGGACCAGAAGACCTCCTTGGTGAGTACCGCGGACCAGAAGACCTCCTTGGTGAGTACCCCAACTTTTCGACCTCCTTGGTGAGTACCCCAACTTTTCAAGCGCTAGTAAGGAAATTACGTTTTTTAAAAAAAAAAGTATAATCTTCAAATTACATGGTATGTAAGTGTAAGCAGGGGGATGGGATATTTTGGTTTTTTCAATGAGGATGACCAAGATTAGACAGCCTCTGACCAAGAGTTTCAGTTAGCATAGTTTGAACTATTTGAGATTGAATCTTCCCATTTTTTCACATTCACTCTTTCTTACAACAGACATCAGATAAAAATAATGAGCCTGGTTTGGCCACCATTTACAGATAATTTTATAATCTTTAATAATTTGATACACATCAATCGATATCAATCAAATGTAAAACACCCCTTGATGCACATCAATCGATATCAGTCCAATGTAAAACATCCCTTTATGTAGACACATTAGGAAATAAAAATTACGTGTGCACAATCATTAAGTTTATTGGAAATTTAGAGTAATCAAAACAAATGGTTTATAAAACGAGATGCATGGCCATTCAAAACAACCCCCCCTCCCCAACACTCTTTAACCCCCCCCCCCAACACTCTTTACCCCCCCCAACACTCTCTAACACCCCCCACAAAACCCCCCCCCAC